ATGGGCATCTTGCTATTGAGCATTACCAAAGCCTTTGGATAATCTAAGCATTAGAGTCTCATTTGTACCCAGCCCATGTGGATGGCAGGATAGTCTGGGCTAAGCTCAGCCTTGTGGAGACAGTGTGGAAGATTGGCAGAGCCATCTCCCATGCTGGAATCTCATGGGTGGCAGGGCCAGTGTCTCTGACCATCTGAGCAGACTACCTGAGCAATCAGTGTAAGGTCCAGTCATGTGAAGACTCAGGCACTGAAACCAGAAACTGAAACAAAGAAAGAGGACACTGAGGTCCCCTGCTGTGAAGAGACAAGATGGATGCTCTGAGTCAGAGAGCCAGAGAATGGAAGCTGCCTACTTCTTGGGGTAGATATTGATTGAATTGTGAATTTTAAAAATTAGGATTATTTGCTTTTAGAATAGACATATACAGATTTTGTCTGAATCATGTGGGGAATCTCTCCCATAGTCTGGAATAGAAAATTACTAGCTCCAAGTAGAGAGCAGTGGTAGTTGCCTGCCATGAACACTTATTAATTAATATAAATCTGTGGCTCCAAGCAGAGAGCAGAATGGATAGATGGCATAACAGATATTAATAAAATATATGTCTGTAGCTCCAGGCAGAGAGCATAACAGGATAGATGGTATAACATAGTCTACAGGAAAATCATAGTTTTGAATGTTGGCTCCATGGGAATTTTGGCTTAAAAGTCAGGTTTGACAAGCTTCCTGCTTCTTATTAGCAGGTGTTAATAAAAGTGTGATTAAATTGTTTTTGTAGTTAGGAGAGAATATAGATTTTCAAAATGAGTAGAATTATGAGATTTTTGGTTGTTTTATTACTCCTCTGGAAGAAAAGTCAAGATACAATCTTTTCTGGTTGCTGACGGAAGGATATGCTGATTTCAGAGAAAGGTTTTGTCTTTGTATTAGTGATTAATGTTTACACATCTTCCAGAGTTTTATGGATCAGATTTGATAGAGGCAGAGTGCCTGAAAATAAATTCAGCTGAATCATCAGAAAATATCATTTGTGCCATCCCTCACATGGCACAAATAAAGACTTATGGTTGGGGCAGGATTTCATCCTAACTAGTCAGGACATCATGCCTTGATGATACTAAATTTTTGTTTTGAGATTTGTATATTACAGAATGTACAGCTTTGGTGAGATCGTCAGACATCCTGATCTGACCTGCTTGGGATTTCAGTGGGATCCAGTCAGGACACAGACATCATCAAACATTATAACAATGGTGGTTGTGACCTTCTTAAGGCCAACTAACTCCCTTATTTTCCTCACCCTTCTCCCTTCAAGATATATCAACACCCATAATTATCATGAAGAAGTTATGAAGAGTTGTTGTCCCAGTTCCATGTACTTGGGGTTTGGAAGTGGTTATTCTACGGTTGTCTTTCTGGGGAATTTTGTAATGATCAGAGTTTAATTAGAAATAGCTAGAATTTATTTTGTAGCCATAATCTCACCTAATAGCAATTTTTAAAGTGCAGAATCATGGTTTTCATTGGTATAAATTTCCTCTATTGTTACTAAAAATTTTAAAGTACAAGGCTTGGACCCAGGCCTTCTATAAATGCCATTACAAACTGATTTAAGATGATTAAGCCTATGAATTAAGAACCAGATAGCAAAGTCTTAGCTCTGAGTTAATTGCTAGGGTGTTTGCAAGATATTTTGTTTATAAATAGCTGAGAGTAGTTAACAGACAACAGTTCAGATTACTTTACATAGATAGATGTTTTCAAAAAGTCAGAAATTTACAAAATGTGACATTTAATGTTATTTATTTACTTGTTGTTGAGAAATATCTGCTCCAAACAGCTCCCCATTTGTAGATTCAAAGAAAGACAAAATGATAGACTGTATGCTAGGTGTCTTATACTTTATAAATTACAAAATGATAATAGTTGTGTTCAATTTATATCTGAGAGAAAAGAGCCTTTTAATTAGACAAAAAGGGGGAAATGTTGATTGCTGTCTGTGTACAGGTGAAGGCAGGCACAAGATAAGACAAGAGCCTGTGCTTGGGCAGTGGAAAAGGAAGGGAGGCTGAAATTTTTAGATACATGTATAGAGAGACAGAGAGACAGAAAGGGAGATGAAGAGGAGGAGACAAGATTCAATCTATAGGAGAAGAAGAGGGATCAGATCCAAACAGTCCTGAGAACCATAAGTATTGGGGAGTATTTTTTTGTGTGTGTGAGTAAAGAGTTTATTTCATCTTATATCTTACAGTACAGCATGAATGGTAGTCAGGACAAGAAAGCAAATGTGAATTTCGAGACAGGAACTAAAGAAGTGGTCTTCAAGGAGTATAATTACTATCTTGTACAAGCTGATTTCTTATTCCAGATGTTTAGGGATGACACTTAGTAATTCATCAGTCAAAATAATACTCAATGATCTTTTGCCTATTAGACAATCTGATAGAGACATTTTCTCAACTGAAGTTTCCTTTTTCCGTTTAACTCCTGTTAGACTATATTTGATAAAAAAAGAAAAACAAAGGACAAAAGAGAGAGAAAAAAGGAAAGGAAGAAAGGAAGAAAGGAAGAAAGGAAGAAAGGAAGAAAGGAAAAAAGGAAGGAAGGAAAAAAGGAAGGAAGGAAGGAAGGAAGGAAGGAAGGAAGGAAGGAAGGAAGGAAAGGAAGGAAGGAAGGAAGGAAGGAAGGAAGGAAGGAAGGAAGGAAGGAAGGAAGATTGATTTTCTCAAAAACAAAAAAGACCCCAGCTCCTGGTTTTGTTGATTCTTCCTATAGTTCTTTTTGTTTCCTCTTGATTGATTTCACACCTGAGTTTGATGATTTCTTGCTGTCTCCTCCTCTTGGGTATACTTGCTTCTTTTTGTCTAGAGCTTTCAGGTATGCTGTTAAGCTGCTAGTGGATTTTCTTTCCAGTTCTTTCTTGGAAACACACAAATCTATGAGTTTACCTCTTAACACTGCTTTCATTGTGTTCCATAAGTTTGGTATGTTGTACCTCACTTTCATTAAATTCTAAAAGGTCTTTAATTTATTTCTTTCATTCTTCTTTGAACAAGTTATTATTGAGTACAGTATTGTTCAGCTTCCATGTGTATGTGGGCTTTCTATTGTTTTTGTTGCTATTAAAGACCAGCTTTGTCCATGGTGATCTGATAGGATGCATGGGATTATTTTAATCTTTTTGTATCTGTTGAGGCCTGTTTTGTGACCAATTATATGGTCTATTTTGGAGAAGGTTACATGAGGTGCTGAGAAGAAGGTATATTCTTTTGTTTTAGGTTGAAATGTTTTATAGATATTTGTTATATTCATTTGGTCCATCACTTCTGTTTGTTTTACTGTGTCTCTGTTTAGTTTCAGTTTCCATGATCTGTCCATTTCTGAGAGTGGAGTGTTGAAGTCTTCCCACTATTATTGTGTGAGGTGCAATGTGTGCTTTGAAATTTAGTAAGATTTCTTTTATGAAAGTGGGTGCTCTTGCATTTGGAGCATAGATGTTCAGAATTGAGAGTTCATCTTGGTTGACTTTCCCTTTGACGAGTATGAAGTGTCCTTCCTTAACTTTTTTGATAGCTTTAAGTTGAAAGTCGATTTTATTCACTATTAGAATGGCGACTCCAGGTTGTTACTTAGGACCATTTCTTTAGAAAATTGTTTATCAGCCCTTTACTTTGAAGTAGTGTCTGCAGTTTGTGCAGTGAAGGTCAGCAGAGGCAATTGAGGCCAGAAACTAAAAAGTAGACTGAAAATTAGAACAAATTTCCAAAGTTAGTTTCAAGCCAACCAGAGTAAGTCAGTGAGAAACAGAAAGGTCCATTTGAATCAGTAAGCTTGGGTATGAGCTTGAGTCAAAACATCTGAGTTGAAACAGCCAGGCCTGAGTTCAGATAGAACTAGAAAGAGTGAGCTCATTCAGCAGTATACCTCTGAGATAATGATTACATTTTATGAGTAAAAGTTACTTTTGCACCTGGCAGGTTACTTTTACAGTGATGGTTGTATTTTGGCAATATGACACCTGGACATAGTTAGGAAGAAATTTTCTCAATTAAGAAAATGCCTCCAACAGCTCACTTCAAGAAAGGCTTTGGGGCATTTTCTTAGTGACTAACAGCGAAACTCACTGCGATTGGTGCCACTCTTGGGAAGTTAGTCCTCAGCTGCAAATCAAAGTGGGCTGAACAATCTAGTGACATTTCTGCAGAGCTTCTGCTTCAGTTCCTGCCTTCCATTCTTGCCTTGAGTCTCTGCCTTGACTTCTCTCAATTATGGCATGTGACCTGAAAGTTGTAAGCTTAAATAAACCCTCTCTAACACAAGTTGTTTTTGCCCATGATCTTTATCACAGAAATCACAGCAATGGAACATTAACTAAGAGAGCAATTTTTTTCTGTACTGACTTGGAGTCATGACAATGAGCTCATGACAATGATCTTTCCTTTCTTGACTTCCAGACTTATATTTTTATATTTCTCTCATTTCAATTTCCTACCTGTCTGCATACGTTAAAAGGCATATTTTATCAGGAGGAAATCATATTGAAGTGAAGATTGTAATAGAACAGGTTTATAAAATATCATGTAACTATATGTATCATTCTTGTACTTTGAGATATTTAAAATATTTTAATTTATTCATCATATGTGTGTGCTTGAGTGTATGTATGTGCATGGCATGTGTTGTCACAGAGACCAAAAGAGGGCATCAGATACCAAGAACTAGAATTACAGTTACAGTTAGCTGTGAACCACCAAATGTGTGTGCTAAGAAATTAACCAGGGTCCTCTGCAAGAAGAGCAAGTGTTTTTAACCATTAAGCCACTGGTCCAGCCCCAGTTTGAGGCACTTTTGTTGAGAGACTTTCATGAACTGTGGCATCTAGAAGAGGGTTACTAACAATGTTAAGGCATATTGTCAATATATATGTATATATTGCAACCTGTAAGATAACTAGAATAATGAAAGGCAAAAATCTATTTTTCTTGGTATTGTAGCCTCTTGGTCCAGCAGGAATTTTGAAAAAGAGTGTTTCAAGAAGTGAGAATGTAGAATGGAAGAGAATTCGATCATTGCTTTCTCCAGCCTACACCAGTGGAAAACTAAAGGAGGTAAGAAAATAAAGGATGTTTTGTTATAGATGTAATCTATTCTATCTGAGGACAGGGAGAAGTAATATTTTACTCTTCAAAGACATGTTTCATTGTGCATTACATTGCTAAGAATGTTCTTTGTTTTGTTAATGTTCTTATTGTTTTCCCTTTCTTGGTGTTTGTTTCAGGGGAGGTTGGTCTTATACCTCCTGTAAAAATGTGACTCTCTTTTCATAATTTCAAAAGTCTTGTTTGGGAAACTCAGAGGATGACATTTACCAACAAACATGTTGTATTTTATACTTAGATGTTTCCCATCATCCAACACTATGGCAATGTGCTGGTGAAAAATATAAGTCTGGAAGTCAAGAAAGGAAAGCTCATTGTCATGAAAGAGTGAGTAGTGATGCATGTATTTGCTGGAACTCTGTCCCTTCTGGAGACCTACCCTACTTTTTAAGTACCTAAGCTAATTCTAGACACAGAATAAGGAAGAAGTATGATGTTACCCTGTTATCAAACATGTATTAAGGAACACCTCCCTGATAAACTTGGGAAAGTATTCCTCTTGCATACATGAGACAAAATTAGAATAGTTCTTGTCATCTTTTATTTTAGAAGACAAATTATATAGTTTAGAAAGAAAGATGAAAATTTAGGTAAGCTACAGCTTGACAGATTCAGAAATGTGAGAGGAGAATATATTAGGATCATCAGAGGTTGTTATTTTGGCATGAATATTACAGTCTATAATTTTGAACAATCTAAAATTCAAGTTTTGCTGAGGGTCTTAAGAATACCAACAAAAAACCAAATTCATTCTACCCCTATTTAATCAAACTGAAGAGAGATAAGTTTCTGGAAATGATGTGTGTATTAAAATCACGTTGAATTTTCAAGATACCACAGTAATAAACTCAGGGTGCAGTAATCACATTGCAGACAAACTTTCCCATAGCTGAGGAGCTGTGTTGATCACATATTTAACCTTCTGTCTTTCTACTCAGCATTTTTGGGGCCTACAGCTTGGATGTGATCATTAGCACCTCATTTGGAGTGAATGTGGATTCCCTCAACAATCCTCAGAATCCTTTTTTGAACAACATCAGGAAGCTTTTTAAACTTAGCTTTTTCAATCCATTAATTTTCTCTATGGGTATGTAATCTATTTTCAACTATATTAAGATCTTAGTCTTACTGCAGCTAGCATACAAAGTACAATATTCTTCATAGCATATTCATACACAATTAATTCTCCTCCCTTCTTGCTTTCACCACTGTATGATCTGGTTCCATTTCCCACCATTGAACTTTTGTATCACATGTGGTTACCCATCATTGCTACATATTTTGTTGTTTTGGATAATTTAAATGACTATGTGATTTCTGCTTTTGAGCCATCAATGTTATGATTTATATTTATACATTTACATATATTAATCATTTCTCCATATCTTGAATAAAATTTAAATTAATATCATCTACTTTCAGTGTTTGTCTGTTCATTGTGTTCTGGATACTACATATATATTTTAAGAATAAGTGTAGAAGTCACTATTTTGTTGCAGAGTTTATTATGTGACACTATATCTAGTATTTGTTTTAAGAAATTAAGTTCACTTATTGATACATATACATTTAGAGTTGAAATGTCATATGAAAAATAGCTCCCTTAAAGTGCATAAAGTGGACTGTGTGCTTGTAATTAGTTTTGGTTTGCTATCAGAATAGTAATGCATGTTCATTTTCTATGTTGATATTTGATGATTGGCTATATTTCTTGGAGTCAGCAAAACAAATTATGATTGCTGATTCAATCTCCTAGTCTGTGTATTGTTTGTTTGTTTGTCTGTAGACAGGTTCATTATCTTGGCTGGTCTGTAACTGGCTATGTAGACCAGATTGGATGAAACTCATAATGATCTACCTGCCTATGGCTCCTGAACTCCTGGGGTTAAAGGATATATAATTACTTTCATCCTTATTCTGTATACTTTGCTAAAGGATTTGAAACCATTTATATTCATATTTCTTACTGAAAGGCATGCACTGGATATTGTCATTTTATTAAATGTCAATTTCTGGCCTTTTTTGGTCCTCTTTTTAAACAACTGCCTTAGCAGTTTTAAAACTTGTTCCCCTCTCATTCTTGGCTGCATTTACCTTTTTATTCAGTCAAAATTGTCCTTTCCATTATGCAATACAAGCAGGTTTCATTGTGAGTAATTCTTTAGGCAATTGATTAGTCTGACATAACATATATAGTTTTTGCTTCTCTTTTGTTTATAATCAGTGCATTTTTGATATATTAATATTTTTCCACAGCTCTTATATTTTAAACATGATATATATCTTTCAAAGATCCCCTGGCTTTCTTGTTTACCATTGAAAAGACAGGAGTCATGCTGATGGAGTTCTTTTTATATATTAGTTATTCCCTACTTTTGTATCTTCCAGTACACTTTTAAAATTTTGTGTATTCACCACTTTATCTTTAATGTGAAATGGGGAGTTTCTTCTCTGGTCTTATTTGTGTGGTATTCTTTATTCATTTTTTAATTTGAATGGACTTTTCTGCAGTTTGGTAATTTCTGTTTTCTTATTTTATTGAGAATATGAGGGAATTTTCTCTCAACTTGAGATAGAATTCGTGTCATTATTTTATACTGAAACTCACTGAATTATTTATCTCCCCAAAACTTACATGTGCCATTGAACTGTTTAACAAATTTATCAATAATCATGACTGAATTGTCCTACAACTCTAATTTGCTTTCAAATTCTATCTTCTATAAAATCCAGTCTGTTTCTGAGACTTTCTGTTGAGATGTGCATTTGACTTGATTTTTTTTTGGGGGGGGTCATCATTTCACTTTGTTTTTCTTCTCTATATCTCTTTTACAAATTCCATTTTAATATTCTAATTCTGTGTCTTTATTTATTTCAGCTTTTGGTATTCTTTTGGGATTAATTCAGATGATAGGTTTATGTTCTTTGAATTCTTTGAACATATTTATAATCACTTTCATTGCTTATCTTGGATTTTGTATATTTTGTTTATTTGTGGTTAGTGTAACATTGGAGGATAAATTGATAAAGTATGCTGTAGAACTGGGAAATGTCCATCTGTGGTTACATCACCAGTTTTATTTTGTTATTTTTTGTTGTTCCTAATTCATATAAATTTCTCCCTTCATTTGGAGTTTTTCTCTTTATTCAGTAAATTCAAGAATGCAGTAAAGTTTGGCAATGTTTTCTTAGACTAGGCATGAGTTCAGCACTCCTGGCTCTCACACCAGTGTTCCTATGGAGGGTGATCAGTCTTTGTAAAATTTATTTTCTAGCAATCAGTAAACATTCTGTGACAGTAGAATAGTGGTTGTCTTAAAAATGGTCCTTAGTCACTCTTTAAATTCCAACTATGTTAGAGAGAAAAAAAGACTAAGTTCTCTTTATAATAATGTGTAGCTACTATATGTAGAAAAGGAAATAGAGGAGAAAGCAAAAATAAATAAGCCATGATGGGACTAGTGATTAAGAGAATGTTGCTAAAAACATATGGCATAGCGAAAAAAACTGTGGGGAATGTTTGGGTATACTTGTTTAAGGTAAAATGAGAAAAAGGGAATGAGGTTGTACACTTGCATTATGCAGAACAGTCTCATCTCTCAGAAAAATTAGTCTCAGAGATCCTAAACACCAGGACAGTCTATGTTGCTAAGAAAGATGAAAGGATGTACAAAAATTTTCAAAAATAGAAATTATATAAGATATGAAAATTGAGCAACTGGGCCAATTTCCTACATTGAAATGGATATGAAGTAAATGATAAATAGCTGTAGAGGTAAATGACAATGCAGTGGAGCTCTTACACTATTAAATTATCCTATTGCTCTATCTAGAATTTCAAGTACTATGTTGAAAATATATGGCAAGAGTGGACAGACTTGCCTTTTCTCTGATTCAGTGAAATTGCTTTAAATTTCTCTCCACTTAATTTGATGTTAGCTTTGGGCTTGCTGTATATTGTCTTTATTGTGTTCATGTATGTATCCTGAATCACTGATCTCTCCAAGATTTTAACATGAAAGGCTATTGGATTTTTTCAAAGGGTTTTTTACCATCTAACCAGATGATCATGATCATGTAGTTTTTTCTCTTCATTTGTTTATATATTAAATTTCATTGATGGGTTTTTCTGTATTGAACTACCTCTGAATCCCTGGAATGAAGCAAACTTGATCATGATAGATGATATATTCTTGAATTTCCTTTGTGAATATTTTATTGAATATTTTTGCATCAGTGTTCATAGGAAATTTTGGTCTGAGATTCTCTTTATTTGTTGGCTTTTGGCACGGTGTAGGTATCAGGGTGATTGTGGCCAGAAAGAATGAGTTTGGCAATATTCATTTTGTTTGTTTTTTGAAATACTTTTAGGAATTTTGACGTTAGCAGACTTTGAAAGACTACTAAAGTCTGCACTAAAGCCGTCTTTCCTGGGCTTTTTCAATTCAGAAACTTTTACTGACAGCTTCTTTTCCATAGGGATTATAGGACTATTTAGTTTACCTGCTCTTGATTTAAGTTTGGTAAGTGGTAACTATTTAGTAAATCATCCATTTTGTTTAGATTTTCCTATTTTGTGGAATACAGGTTTTTTTGGTAATACCCAATGATTTTTTAAGTTTCTTCAGTGCCTGCTGTTATGTGTTCCTTTTCAATTCCAATTTTGTTAACTCGAATACTATTTTTTCTGCCTTTAATAGGTTTGGCTAATGGCTTCTCTATCTTGCTGATTTTCTCAAAGAACCAGATCTTGATTTCATTGATTCTTTGTATTGTTCTGTTTGTTTCTAATTGGTTGATTTAAGTCCTAAGTTTGACTTCCTGCCACCTATTCCTCTTGGGTTTGTTTGCTTCTTTTTGTTTTAGGACTTTCAGTTATGTTGTTAAGTTGCTAGTATGAAATCTCACATATTACTTTTTGAAGGAACATAGTCCTATAATATTTTCTCGTAGCACTGCTTTCATTGTTTGGATATGTTGTGCTTTCATTCTCATAGAATTTTAGAAAGTCTTTGATTTATTTCTGCTTTGACACAGTTGTCATTGAGTAGAGAATTCTTCAGCTCCCATGGGTTTATAGGCTTTCTATTGTTGATGAAGTCCAGTTTTAATCCATAGTGATCTGATGATATACAAAGTGTTACTTTAATCTTCTGGTGTGGGACTGCATAAGGGTATCATGGTTCTTGGCTGGGCATGGGCCTAGAACCCCAAGATTCGAAGGGAGAAGCAGCAGGCATTCGGCCACGTCCCCAGAACCCAGAGTCCTGAAACACAGTGTAGTCTCCATAGACCTACATTGTTCAGTCACGTAGGCCATTACAACCCCTCCCAAAGTGCACAGATAGAGGATGTGACTAGAGGCCTCAGGTCCTAGGGATTTACATACTAATGAAGACCAGAGAGCAGAGCAAATTAAGCATTCTTCCCAGAACCTCCCCCTTTCTCCCTCCCTATTTAACTCATGTCTGCCCTGAGTTTCAGGAGGGTACATCCAGACCCATCTACCATCTGCCATGACAATAAACCCTTTTGGAGCCAAGGACTTTCTTGTGTCATAGGAGCCTGCCATTGCCAAAGCCTCCAGCCTTTGGAACCCTAGCCCTTCTCGTGTATGTGGGACCCGCTGCATGGAAAGTCTCCAGGACCTCCACTGTGGCTTTTTTCCCCACATTCTGATATCTGTCTATCCTTCCTTTTTACTGAGTATATGGTCACTTTGAAGAAAATTCTTTGAATTGCTGAGAAGAAATGCTATTCTCTTGTGTTTGGGTAAAATGTTATGTAGATATCTGTTGGTTCCCTTTGAGTTATATCATCTGTTAATTTCACTGTATCTGTGTTACTGTATCACTTTAGCTTCTGTTTTGATGACCTGTCCATTGATAAGAGTGGGGTGTTGTAGTCTCCTTGTGTTAATGTTTGGGGTTCAATGTGTGATTTACGCTTTAGTAATGTTTCTTTTATGAACATGGATATCCTTGCATTTGGCACATAGATAGAACTGAGACATCATCCTAGTAGATCTTTCCTTTAATGAGTATGAAGCATTTTTCCTATTTTATTTGATTAATTTTGGCTGAATATCTATTTTATTGGATATTAGAATGGCAACTGCAGCTAGTTTCTTGAGTTTGTTTGTTTGAAAATGTATTTCTAGCCATTTATTGAGGGTTAGTGACTACCATTTTTGCCTAGGTGTGTTTCTTGTATGCGGCAGAATGGTGGATCCTGTTTTCACAACTATCTGTTAGCCTATGTCTTTTTGTTGGCAAATTGAATCCATTTATATTAAAAAAGATTAATAACCAATGATTGTTTATTCCTGTTATATTTATATTAGTAGTATTTGTGTGTGTGTGTGTTTGTGTGTGCGTGTGTACAGGAAAGGATTCTCCTCTTTTAGTTTTTCTGGTATGAAATTATTAACTTTTGTGTTTTCTTGGAATTTTTCTTCTAGTATCTACTGTAGTGTTAGATTACTGGAAAGATATTGTTTAAATTTGATTTTGTTGTGAGATATATTGCTTTTTCTATCTATGGTGATTGAAAATTTTGCTGAGTATAGCAATCTGGGGTGACATCTGTCTTCTCTTGGGGTCTGCTTGACATCTGTCCAGACCCTTCTGGCTTTTAGAATCACTGTTGAGAAATCAGGTGTTATTCTGGTAGGTCTGCCTTTATATGTTTATTGGCCTTTATTCCTTGCAGCTTCCAGTATTCTTTCTTTGCTCTGCATATTTAGTGTTTTCATTATTATGGGGCATGAGGATTTTCTTTTCTGGTATAATTTATTTAGTGTCCTGTAAGCTTCTTGTATATATATATAGCCATCCCTTTCTTTAAGTTAGAGAAATTTTCTTCTGTGATTTTATTGAAGATATTTTCTGGTGTTTTGAGATAGGAAATCTCCTTCTTTTATTCCTCCTATTCTTAGGTTTTCTCTTTTCATAATATTTGAGATGTCCTGGATGTTTTGTGTCAGGAAGTTTTTTAGATTTATCATTTTCTTTGACTCGTGTATCAGTTTCTTCTATTGTATCTTTTATGCCTGAATGTATCTCTTCCAACTTCTACATTCTGTTGGTGATGCTTGTGTCTGTTTCCATGTTCTCTTTCTAGGTTTACTCTCTCCAGGATTGCCTCAGTTTGTGTTTTCATTAATGCTTCTATTTCCATTGTCAGGCCTTCCACACTTTGATTAATTTCCTTCACCAGTTTGTATTTTCCTTTATTTCTTTAAGAGTTTTATTTATTTCCTCTTTACAAGCTTCTATCATCCTCATAAGATTAGATTTAAGGTCATTTTCTTTCTGTTAAGGTGTGTTAGGATATCCAGAGCAGCTATGTAATAGCTGATTTTCAATAGTACCATATTATTCTGGCTTTCCTTTTTTCCTTTTTTCTTTTCTTTTTAAAGATGTATTTATTTTATGTATATGAGCACACTGTGGCTCTCTTCAGACACACCAGAAGAGGCCACCAGATCCCAGTAGAAATGATTGTAAGCCACCATGTGGTTGCTGGGAATTGAACTCAGGAATTCTGGAAGAGCAGTCAGTGCTCTTAACCACTGATGCATCTCTCCAGCCTCAATCTTGGCTTTTCTTGAGTGTATTCTTATTCTAGCCTTTAGCCATCTACTTGTCCCTGGTGTGGCCTGGTGTGATAGTCCCTGCTGGCCTTTTGTGACTGCATTTATAGCTTCTGTTTCCAGATTAGACCCGATGGCTGCAGGCCTCCATGTATAATAAATTATATTGGACCAGAAGATGTAAAACAGAGGAGACACTTTAGGGATTTTCTAAGTGTTCTTTTCTTACTAAAAATTTCACACTGACCTTGTTTGTTGTATTAGATAAGAGAATGCATAAGTGAAGGGATAATATTAAGTGTGATGGGGAATATGTTTGAGATGAGAAATAGTGCAATAGAAGCAGGAATACTACAATCCTTGAACTATCTCACCTAATATCAAATTTCTTCCTCAAACTCAGGGAGGGATGGAGCTTCATGATAGGATAGTTAGCTACCAGTTATAAGGGTATGCAAATCTTCACCAACACTGCAATTGTTTCTTAATTTTTAAATAGGTTCTTCATAATAATCACATCTTCTGTCAAACTACTGTTTCTTGGTCTCAAACACCAGAGTACCTGACTATAATTTATTTTATTTATTTTCAGTATAAATATGGTACCATGAAAGACATATGAATTTTGTTTTGTGATTCTAATACCTGAATTGAAGTGATAATATATTGAGTAAGCTTGCATTGCCCTTTTCCTGAAAGTAATAACACCTAGCTCAACCCTCAATTTCTGGGTTAGTTCTTTGTTTCTATTGACAATTTTCATAAAGTTAAGGGATATGCTATTCTGAATTATCTGAGAACATTAATTAGGAAAAATGTTGAGCTTTCCCTAAAAATTTCTTACTATACTCCATTTTTGATTGCTTGTGCAATTTAATTTTATTTTGCCTCGTGCCTTATAGGGCAGCATGCATGTTGCTACATAACAAGATTCATTTCATGATTCTGCATTCAGATGGAAAATGTTTCGTTGATAAGGTCAATTACGGCTCTTTTAAGTCATGTTTCTATACAGGATTCCTTTCTGAAAAAATGTTCTGATTTTAGGAACAGGGCAGTGAAAGCTTCCAGATTCATTTTTCCATTTTGAACTAATTTTCTAAGTTTTGGACACTCATGTGAAAAGTTGGTATGAATTGTCTGTTAAATATTTTATAAAACTCTACCATGAATCTTTCTGGAGCTGAATTCTTCTTAGTGAGTATGTGATTTTATTTAAAATTTAATTACTTTTAGGTATGATAGACTATATGTTACTATTATATTCATTTCAACCACAATATTTTCTGTTGTTTTATTTCACATAAATTATTGAATTTTGCCATTATTAAACAAAATAACTGTAAAAAAATTAAGTTTGTATTTTGATTATATTTCTTCTTTTCTTTATAGCAATCTTTCCATTTCTTAATCAAATATATAACATACTAAACATCTCCATATTTCCAAGTGATGCTATAATATTTTTTAAAAAGTTTAGAGAGAAGACTAAAAACAATCGACTTGAAAATAGACAAGAGGTAAGACATGACAATATTTATTTCAATTCAAAGGCAATGATATCAAAAGTCACATTTTCCCCAGATAAAACCCTATTGAGATATTGGATGAATTTAGTCTATTCAGTTTAAGTTGTGGCTTGCCTAAACCTTGGGCCGTTGTGTTTGACCATAGAGATTGCCAATTGTACAACCAAGTTTTGCCTAATTCAGCCCATATGCTGGACAATGGATGTTGGCTGAAAAAATTATTAGCAGGATATCAAGGAGTCAGTATTTGTTTGAGATGTCACCAGTTATTTTCTGGGATTTTGAGGTTTGGAGTGTTTGTAGGTAATCATATAAAATCCAGCAATTAGAGCCACAAAGAGCAATCAATAATTATGCATGTGGCTTAAGAATATGCCAAGGAAATGACATATTGACACATTTTTTGTGCAGAAATTCTTTCTAAACAAGCATCTATGGCAGGAGAAGGAACTATAGTCATTCATCTAGAGGCTTGTGCTCAGCAAATGCAGATGCTCAGAATCAGAGAAAGCAATGAGTAAAAAAGTTGTTGGGCATGGCAGCATGATACTAGAACAGAGTACACTCCTTGTTCTACAATTTCTAATGATGAGTGTTTTGTTTTACTAGTGATTCAGGAAACAGTAGCTATATTATTTTAGCCTTAAATAAGTTATAGCCACATAAGAGTGTTTAAGTTCATTAAATTTCTATTTTCAAGCTCCTAAACACACATTTAACTTTGATATTTCTGTCTGCTTTCAGAACTCAGTAGATTTTCTTCAGCTGATGATGAACTCACAAAATTCCAAAAATGTGGAGGAGTCCCACAAAGGTAATTAAGAATACATTAGGATCTAAAAAATATGCACAGAATAAGGGGCTGGGCTGGTTCTTAACATATAAAGAGGTACTCAAGTAGAGAAGGCAACCTCTTAAATTTCAGAAAAACACAGACATGTGGTGTTATATGCAGCAACTTAAGGAACTTTCTAAAAACACACATTATAAGAATGCTCATATTCTTTAGATTACTGTGCCTTCTATGACAGAGAATCTACCTGCATGAAATCTGAAAAACCTAGCTACCTAACAAAGGCTTGATTAGTTCCAAAACCAGTTGATGTCCCTAACAGAAGGGGAAAATCTCATGAGGACTCATCAATAGATAATAAGCTACAGGGATAATGAGTCTTCCCTAAGAATGAGCCCCCTGTATTCAATATCTAGATAACAGCTCTAGAAACAAATATATGCAGATAAAACTGAGAGAATTCATTAGGTAATGTGTTTATGATTATTCATTTTTTATATATGTTACAATGATTCTCAAGAAATTGAATGCTATGGATTTGGAAATATGTGACATGTGAAAAATAAGATGGAAGGTAAGGGATGGGATAAAGATATACTTAAATATTAAATTTATAGTAATCTTAAAGCCATTTGTAAACATGATTTCTTAGCCCAAAACTCCCCTATGATGTATGCATTACCTACATCAGCCAAATGCTGTTTCTCAGCCTCATGCCGAGCCATTGAATTAGAAACTTCTCCTGGAAATCTGCTCCCATGACATCCAATCAGAAGGTACAGTGTCCAAATAACAACACTCACTGTGGCTTTAATAGCATAAATGTTTATCAGTTTAAGAAACTTGGAAGTTTTATTTTTTTTCTTTCTCAGTGATCTAGTATACTAAGGATGAAAGAAAACACTGAGTGTACAATTTCCTTTTCATTCTTTTACTCACTGTCACTGACTTTAATATTTCAATGCTGTGGGTTTTTGTTTTCTGTTTTACTTTTGTTTTGTTATTATTTTTGATACATTATATTTGATACAATGGCTGTAAAATCATAATTGTCATAATTTATCACTTATTCTATAATTGAAGGTAGTATCCAGTTTACAAATAGTATTTCTTCCTGACTTGTTTGCTTCTGTCATATCTACTGTTTTCCTCATTGATTTTGCATATTATCAAATTGATATTTTTAATCATTATTTGTATTTTGTGTGTTCTCTGAGTATGGTGAATTTGCCCTTTCCATGGATGTCTAGAATGTTCTTTATAAAACATTAGATGCAGAAGTTAAAAAAAAGACTAGAAAAATTTTCCATTCATAGCACCACTGAGTAGAATGTAGTGAGATATTCACCATACTCTTGACCTTCAAACAAATACATACCCCACAATTACCATCCCTATTGAAGTAGTAGGTACATCATAATTGATGAGTAAACATTAACATACTTTTATTATATAACCTTCTAGTTTACTAAGTTTTAATTCATAGCCTTAAAATCCTTTATATATTGGCAAATATATGATGTGAACATGCATTTCAATTATGATTCTATCCAGAAATTTGTCTTTTCAAAATCTATATCCCTTCTAATACTTTGAGAATTTGATACAAGCATAAAAATTATTGTTATTAAATCCATCCCAAATTTCCTCCTGAATCTTCCCATATCTTTTTTTCCAAGTTTACATTCTGTCTTTTTTTTTCAACGTCTACTGAGTGCACTTAGAACTGCTTGTGCATGATGAGTATAGGACCATTTATGGCAGTGTACATGCAGTCCTGATTAAAATCTCTGAGCATAATTCCTGAAGAAAGCTGGCTCTTCATTTCTTTTTATATTTGGTTATTTTATTTATTTACATTTCAAATGTTATCCCCTTCCCATTTCCACCTCCACAAGCCCCCATCCCTTCTTCTCTCCCTCTCCTTTATGAGGGCGCTCCCTCACCTGCTCACCTGCCTCAGCAGCCTAGCATTCCCATATCCTGGGTCATCAAGCCTCCATTGGACCAAAAGGCTACCCTCCCAGTGCTTCCAGACAAGGCAATCCTCTGCTACATTTTCAGCTGGAGTCAGGGGTACCCCCTTTGTACTCTTTGGTTTGTGGTTTAGTTCCTTGGAGCTTTGGGGATTCTGGTTGACTGATATTGTTGTTCTTCCTATGATGTTGCAAAAACTCTTTAGCTCCTACAGTCTTTGCCCTAACTTTCCCATTGGGGTCTCTGCACCCAGTGAAATGTTTGGCAGTGAACATCCATATCTGTATGGGTCAGAATTTGGCAGAACCTCTCAGGAGACAGCTGTATTAGGCTCCTGTCAGCAAGGACTCTTGGCATCAGCAATAGTGTTTGGGTTTGGTATCTGCATATGGGATGGATCCCCAGATGGGGCAGTCATTAGATGGCCTTTCCTTCAGTCTCTGTCCCACTCTTTGTCCCTGTATTTCCTTTAGTCAGGAGCAATTCAGGGTTAAAATTTTGGAGATGAGTGGGTGAGCCCATGCCTCAAGTGGGGGCCATGCCTAACCTCTGTATATAATCTTGATGGGTTCTTCCTACCATTTGTGGGGTACTTCAACTAATGTCATCCCTGTGGGGCCCTGGGAAGCTTTTACTTTTCTGGCATTTGGGGTTTTCTGGTTGCTACCCCCAGTTCCCCATCACCCATTGTGAAACATCTCTGTTCAATTTCCTTACCCTTTCTACATCTCCCCCATATCCTTACGTACCTTACTGTTCCCCTATTTTCCCCTCCCCCTATTTTCTTCCTCCCAAGTCCCTTCTACAATCTACTTCCCTTGATTAATTTGTTCCCCCTTCTAAGTAGGACTTACAACTATTTGGCCTTCCTCTTGATCTTCATGTGGTCCTTGAGTTGTATTTTGTGTGTTCCATGCTCTTTGTCTAATATTCATGTGTCAGTGAGTATATACAAAGTGTGTTCTTTTGTGACTGGGTTACCTCACTCAGGATGATATTTTCTAGATCCATCCATTTACCTGAAAATTTTATCAAGTCATCATTTTTAATAACTGAGTAGAATTCCATTGAGTAAATATATAACATTTTCTGTATCCATTCCTCTCTTGAGGAACATCTGGGTTGTTTCCAGATTTTGGCTATTATAAATATGGCTGCTATGAACATAGTGAAGCACGTGTTCTTATTACATATTGGAGCATATTCTGGGTACATGACCAGGAGTTCTCATGTAGTTCTCAGTTTGGGTTCTCAGGTTATACTGTGCTCAACATTCTGAGGAACCACCAGACTGATTTCTAAAATGGTTGTACCAGCTTGGAGCCACACCAACAGTGGGGGAGGGTTCTTCTTTCTCCACATCCTTGCCAGCATCTGCTATCACCTGAGTTTTTTATCTTAGTCATTCTGACTGGTATGATGTAGAATCTCAGGGTTGATTTGCATTTCCCTGATGACTAAGGATGTTGAACATTTCTTTATGTGCTTTTTGACCTTTTGAGTTTCCTCAGTTGAGTAGTCTTTGTTTAGCTCTGTACCCCATTTTTAATAGGATTATTTTGATTGTCTGGAGTCTAACCTGTTAAGTTCTTTGTATACATTGGATATTAGCCCTCTATCGAATGTAGGATTAGTAAAGACATTATCTAATCTGTTGGTGGCCATTTTGTCCTATTGGCAGTGTCCTTTGCCTTACAGAAGCATTTCAATTTTATGAGGTTCCATTTTTTAATTCTTGGTCTTACAGCCATTGATGTTCTGTTCAGGAAATTTCCCCCTGTGTCTATGTGTTCAAGGCTCTTCCCCAATTTCTCTTCTATTAGTTTCAGTGTATCTGGTTTTATGTGGAAATCCTTGATCCATTTGGACTTGAACTTTGTACAAGGAGATAAGAATGGATCAATTTCCATTCGTCTATGTACTGAACTCCAGTTGAACCAGCACCATTTGTGAAAATGCTGTCCTTTTTTCTCACTGGATGGTTTTAGCTCCTTTGTCAAAGATCAACTGACCGTAGGAGTGTGGCTTCATTTCTGGTTTTTCAATTCTATTCCATTGATCTACCTGCTTGTCACTAAACCAATCCTATGTAGCTTTTATCATTATTGCTCTGAAGTACAGCTTAAAGTCAGGGATGGTGATTCCCCCAGATTTCTTTATTTGTTGAGAATAGTTTTCAATATCCTAGGATTTTTGTTCTCAAATGAATTTGAGAAGTGCCCTTTCTAACACTATGAAGAATTGAGTTAGAGTCTTGGTGGGAAGTGTGTTGAATCTGTAGATTGCTTGCAATAAGATGAACATTTTTACTATATTAATCCTGCCAATCTATGAGCATGGGAGATCTTTCCGTCTTCTGAGATCTTCTTCAATTTCTTTCTTCAGAGACTTGAAGTTCTTTTCATATAGATCTTTCACTTGTTTAGAGTCACACCAAGATATGTTCTATTGTTTGTGACTATTGTAAAGAGTGTCATTTTCCTAATGTCTTTCTCAGCCTGTTTATCCTTTGAATATAGGAAGGCTATATGATTCGTTTGAATTAATTGTATATCCAGCCACTTTGCTGAAGTTGTTTATCAGTTGTAGGGGTTCTCTGGTGGAATTTTTGGGGTCACTTAAGTATACTATCATATCATCTGCAAATAGTCATATTTTGATTCTTCCTTTCCAATTTGTATCTCTTTGACCTCCTATTGTTGTCCAATGGGTCTAGCTAGAACTTGGAGCCCTATACCAAATATATAGTGAAAGACAGGGCAGCTTTCTCTAGTCTCTAATTTTAGTGGGGTTGCTTCAAAAATCTCTCCATTTATTTTGATGTTGCCTACTGATTTGCTGTTTATTGCTTTTGTTGTGTTTATGAATGGGCCTTGGATTCCTGGTCTTTCTAAAAATTTTAACCATCAAGGATGTTGAATTTTGTTAATTGCTCTTTCAAAATTTAATGAAATGATCATGTTTTTTTTCTCTGATTTTGTTTATAGTGGATTATGTTGATGGATTTTCTTATATTTAAACATCTCTGCATCCCTGAGATGAAGCCTATTTGATTGTAGTAAATGTTCATTTTGCTGTGTTTTTTTGGGGGGAATTTTGAATTTTCTTGAATATATTGATATTCATAAAGAAAATTTGTCCGAAGTTCACTTTCTTTGATGGTTTTTTTGTCATTTTAGTACAAGCATATTTGTAGCTTCTGAGAAAAAATTAGGTAGTGTTCCTTCTGTTTCTATTTTGTGGAATAGTTTAGAGCATATTGGTATTAGGCACTCTTGGAAGGTCTGATAGACTTCTGGACTAAACCCATCTGCTCCTGGGCTTTTGTTGGTTGGTAGACATTTAATGACTAATGCTATTTCTTAGGGGTTATGGAACAAATAGATAAACCATCTAAATAAGATGGTTTATCTGATCTGGATTTAACTTTGGTACATGGTATCTGACTAGAAAATTGTCTGTTTCATCCAGATTTCCAGTTTTGTTGAGTATAAGGTTTTGTAGTAGGATCTGATGATTTTTTTTAATTTACTCATTTTCTATTGTTTTATATCCCTTTTTATTTCTGATTTTGTTAATTTGGATACTGACTCTGTGCCCTCTGGTTAGTCTGGCTAAGGGTTTATCTATGGTGTTGATTTTTTCAAAGAACCAACTCTGGATTCTCCTGATTCTTTGCATAGTTCCTACAGTCTACTCCACTTGGATGTATTTGCTTCTTTTTGTTCTAGAGCTTTCATGTAGGCTGTTAAGCTGCTAGTGAATGCTCTCTCCAGTTTCTTTTTGGAGGCATTCAGAACTATGAGTTTTTCTCTTAGCAGTGCTTTCATTATGTCCCATAATTTTGGGTATGTTGTGCCTTCATTTTCATTAAGTTTTAAAAAGTCTTTAATTTCTTTCTTTATTTCTTGAGAGTTCATCTTAGTATATTTTTCTTTTGATGAGTACAAAGCATCCATCCTTATCATTTTTGGTAACTTTTGGTTGAAAGTTGATTTTATTCGATATTTGAATGGCTACTCCAACTTGTTTCCTGAGAACATTTGTTTGGAAAATTGTTTTCCAGTCTTTTAATCTGAGGCAGTGTCTGTCTTTTTCACTGATGTGTATTTCCTGTATGCAGTAAATTGCTGGGTTTTATTTACATATTCAGTCTGTTAATCTATGTTTTTCATTGGGGAATTGAGTTCATTGCTATTAAGAGGTATTAAGAAATAGTGATTGTTACTTCTTGTTATTTTTGTTGTTAGAGGTGGAATTATGTTTGTGTGGCTCTCTTCTTTTGGTTTGTTGAAAGAAGATTATTTTCTTGCTTTTTCTAGGGTGCATTCCTTGCGCTGGAGTTTTCCAATTGTTATTTTTTGTAAGGCTGACTTTCTGGAAAGACATTGTGTAAATTTAGATTTTTCATGGAATATCTTGGTTCCTCCATATATGTTAATTGAGAGTGTTCCTGGATATAGTAGCCTAGGATGGCATCTGTGTCCCTAGACACATCTGTCCAGGATCTTATGGCTTGTAGAGTCTTCGTTGATAAGTCTGGTGTAATTCTGATAGATCTGCTTTTTTATATGACTTGGCCTTTTTCCTTTACAGCTTTTAATATTTTTCTTTGTTTTGTCTATTTAGTGTTTTGATTATTATGTGACAATAAGATTTTCACCTCTCATTAAATCTATTTGGTGTTCTGTATGCTTCTTGTATGTTTATGGCTATCTCTTTCTTTAGGTCAAAGGAGTTTTCTTCTATGATTTTGTTGAAGATGTTTTCTGGTCCTTTGATCTGGGATTCTTCACCGTCTTCTGTTACTATTATTCTTAGGTTTGATCTTTACATTGTGTCCTGAATTTCCTGGATGTTTTGGGTTAGGCACCTTTTACACTAAAGTGTATTTGACAAATGTGTCAATATTTACTATGGTATCATTTATGCCTGAAATTCTCTCTTCTATCTCTTGTATTCTGGTGGTGGTGCTTGCATCTGTAGCTCCTGATCTATTTCCTAATTTTTTTTTCTCCAGGGTTTTCTCCTTTTGTGCCTTTTTTATTGTTTCTATTTTGATTTTTAGTTCTTGGACCATTTTTTTTAATTCCTTCACCTGTTTAATTGTATTTTTCTGCATTTCTTTAAGGGATTTATTTGTTTCTATTTTACAGGCTTCTACCTGTTTGACTGTGATTTTCTGTATTTCCTTAAGGGAGTTATTTATATGCCCCTTAAAGGCCTTTATTACATTGAGATGAGATTTTAGGTCATTATCTTTCTTTTCAGGTATTTTAGGGTATCCAGGGCTTGCTGTGGAGGAAGAACTGGGTTGTGAAGGGTGCAAGGTTGCATTGGTTTCTGTAGTTTATTATCTTTGCTTGCCTCTAGCTGTCTGGTTATCTCTGATGTTAACTGTCCTGGGTGTTTCTGACTCTAGCTGGCCTTCTTGGAGACAGGCAGAGCTCTGTTACCTGGGTTAGAGCAGGGCTGTCTCCTTGGAGGTAGGCAGTGTTGTCTCTTGTTAGAGTGGGCTTCCTCTGTCTCTGGTTAGAGCAGGTCTTCTGTGTCCCTGAATACTGAGAACTTCCTGGGAGGCATGCAGACTGTGTCCCTGGTTGCTACAGACCTACTAGAAGGCAGACAGGTTGTGTTCTTGGTTACTCTGGACCTCCTCGGTGGTTCAAAGGCTGTAGCATGTAGGCAAGTATCAGGTCTCTGATCTGACCTGGGTGGGGAAGTTGACCAGAAGGAAAGTGGAGCTATGTCTTTGGTTATTGCAGATCTCCTGGCAGGTACACAGGTTGTAATGTGTGGGGTAGGAAACAGACCAGAAGGAAGGTGGAGCACAGGGACAGATGGGGGAGTGGGTAGGTCCCACATCAGCTGTGTTCTATGGTTTTCCTAGCTGGCATGGATATTTAGGCAAGATTCTCACATGTGTCTTTGCTTACTGTGGACCTCCTGGGAGGCACACAACCTATAAAGTATGGGCAGGTATCTAGCCACTGATTTGACCTATATCTCACACCTTAAGTTTGCCTTTGCCAGTCTTCTGATTGTGGATAAGCTCAATATCCCAGTTCTTCCTTATTAAATTTTCTTTGCAGCTTTACAGTGTATTTAACATTGACACTTTGCTTATCATTATACTTTGTGTCTTATATTATGGTCCATGCCTCACTGTTAAGCATATTGTACAATATTTTTACGATTATCCTGGTATCTATTTATGGTTTATTCCCATAGGAAATGGCTTTACACATGATTGATAATATTTTTCTCAAATTATAGAGCAAGGTGGTTTAAACTATGCCCATCTTCCCAACTTGATCCATTATACCTTACATGTCAAATTTTGTTTTAGCTCTCTCTGATCTGGAGATTGTGGCTCAATCAATCTCATTTATTATGGCTGGCTATGAGGGCACAAGCAATGTTCTTTCCTATATTATGTATACTCTGGCCACTCATCCTGATGTCCAGAAGAAACTCCAGTATGAAATTGATGCAGTTCTGCCCAATAACGTGAGTAGATAGCATCTGAAGAAAGTAAAAGATCAAATCTCAACAAGAAACATTTATTCCACATATATTATTGAAAGTGATAATAGAGTATACATTAATTCATATACCAATCAATAGTCAATGAAAATCTATGTGCAGAAGAAAAGAAATGCAAGACAATTGTGTTCATAAAGGAAATTAATCATTGTGCTTTTTAATGATTCTCTAATATCTGCTTTCTCTTGCCAAAATGACACACTCCAAAAGCATGCATAAAATCTCTAGACTTTAATTTTACTGAATTTATATAACTGTTATGCCTGAATGTATATTTATCATCATGTATATCCCTAGAACCTGAGGTGACTACAATTGTAAAACAGATGCCCTAAAATTAGATCTCCAGTAATTAGAGCCACTAATTAGATTCACTATTTTAGTACTGGGAAACAGCTCTGTCCTTCACAAGAGAAAACAGTGCTCTTCATCACTGAGGCATTCCGCTAGACTCTCAGTGACCTGATAGCTGCATTACTAATGAGAATGTTTTGACATGAATATTGACAATGGTACCTTGTCTTTTATAAACCATTTTTATTGTATTTTTCAAAAACATAGCCACGGAAGATGCGACAGAAGAAAGAAAGAAAAGCACTAGCTCAGAGATCAAGGAGCAGTAAATATCTGAAAATGTACAATAATCTATCACATTTTTTTCTTTTTTTATATTGAAAATAGATTCTTCTATTATGTAATACATTGTGAATACAGTTTGTCCTTCATGCACTCCTCACAGCTCCCCAGCCTTCCTCTTGCTCAAATTCATTCTCTGTCTCTCTCTCTCTCTCTCTCTCTCTCTCTCTCTCTCTCTCTCTCTCCATTTAGGAAAGAGCAGGTCTCTCAGAGACTGCAACCAAATGTGACAGAACAAGATAACAATAAAAAAGCCAGCAATGGTACGTTTTCTTATCCAAGTTGGGTAGCTATTCTCCACATTACTCCTTTCTCCAAACATATAGTTAGATATGGACATATGGCAGCTTCCAACATAAACTCTTCACTTCTACATTATGGTAGCTCCAGTGTCCCATGAAGTAATAACAACATATCACATAAGCTTTCTTCACATTTCTACCTAAAACTGATTCAGTGTGAGGTCCCTAAACTCTGTGACTGTCTAGTTGTGAGTGAGAAGAACACAAAGCATCATCAGGTCTCATATTCATCTTCCGTTCTTGCTTTATTCTGTCTTGTGGCAAATATCATGAAAACCACTCATTTCAGCTTACATTTTTTGATGAAAATCTATCATTGAGAAAAGGAACCCAAGGCAAGAACTTGTAGGCAGGAGTCCTTGCCACTCCACTTTGCATTTCTTCTGACCAAGGAACTCACTCACAGCCAAATAAGCACTGAAGGGACAATGAAGGATGCTGGTTGCTGTCTAGCCCACTTACTGAACTATCATTATATAGCTGTTTTCATATAACCCAATATAATCTGCTCATAAAATAATGCTACCTGCAGTTGTCTGGACCCAGCCACATCAATCAAGACAATCAGGAAAACAACCCTCCCAGACATTTCCACAAACCTGTCTAATCTACTAATCTTTAATCTCAGTTGAGACATCCTTCTCAGCTAACTATAGGCTGTGAGCTGTTGAAAGTTAAATATTTATTAGAACACTATATGAAGCAATAAGGAGAAGATTGTTTTAGCAACTAAGCATAGAATTGAATAAACCTTACAGTAGAACAGAAGTTTTATGCTCAATTATTAACCAATTTTACATTATTTTACCATGATGGGTTTCAATAGGTTTCAACTTCCTATTAAAATTATTTCATTATATTGTCACTTGTTATTCCTGTATAATATGACATTAATCTTAATAATAGGTTTTACACACTATGAGTTCTCATTAGAAAGACTTCCATAGAATTTTTAGTTAGGATTTGACACTGTCTGAATTATATTTCCTTGGCATGCATTTGTGGCCTCTCTATAAAAAGTTATGATACCCTTTATAGCAGATTTACGTTGAAAAATATAGATATAATATGACATTCTTTATTACTTAATAGAAAAGAAGTACAAGAAAAACTGATGATTTGGGTCCTAGGCAGAAGTTTATCTAAATATCTCCTATACTCACTTCACCATGCATTTCAATGGCCCTTTAGTTGGCCAAAACATGACTGTTGTGAATATAACATATCAGTGGTAAATTTGCTCATTATTCTGTGTTGAATGTGGAATTTCTAACAACTTAAATGTGCTATATACATTGAAATGAAAGTTAATTTCAGATATCAAATCAAACTTCTGTTTGTCTCTTCCCAGGCACCTGCCACTTATAATGGCTTGGTACAAATAGAATATCTGGACATGGTAATCAGTGAAACTCTGAGATTATATCCAATTGGTGCCAGAATTTCCAGACTCAGTAAGAAAGACACTGAAATCAGTGGTGTGTTTATTCCTAAAAATACAAAAGTAGCTGTACCTCTCTTTATTCTTCACCGAGACCCAGAATATTGGCCAGAACCTGAGAAATTCAACCCTGAAAGGTATGAGGACTCTGTGAATGGGAACCTACTCAGAATCTTGATTCTTTAAGCACATTAATATGTCTCTGACAGTAATCACTCAGATACAAATATATATTATCTTAAATGTATGTTTGCATTTAGAATGTTCGTACTACAAACATATCATTACTATTTTTACAAGCTACAGGGAATTTAGCTGAAGAAACAAATAACATTTCTAAATTGTGTTACTTTGCTTTAGAGTCTTAAGACTTTAATACAAATTTCTGTAATACAGGGATATCATTGTACATGTTTCTAAGTATGGGTAGATATTTAAAAATTAGAAAAAACACCAAGTTTCTCCTATTTTTATAAATTCTGGTTACTTCCTATGATTTATCAATACTAATTTTTGAAACATGCTTGTGTGATGTGTGCATGTATTTGTATTAATATGGTCAGAGAGAGCAAGCACAATTACAATGATTAGGAAATCAATGTTTTATTAAAGTTGTTATGCTTATGTTTCTTCAAAGTTGTTCTTGATGATAGAAGAACTGTCTAGACAGATGCCTAAATATAGGAATCACTTCTCAAATATAGGAATTGATTGAATTACACATTTGTGCATTTAGAAGTTGCAGAAAGTCAGACTATTGGTAGTTCAAGCATCCTCGCTGAGGATGAATGTGAATACGTTTTCTCTTAGTGTTGTCTCTGTCTGTTTCATGGGGACTGTTCCTTCACACTCATTCAGTGGATAATTCCTCCAAAGCCAAGTAATCTATTCTCTAGAGATTTGATAGGTTCATTCTTCTTGAAAGATTTTATTTAGTATGTGCATAGAGTTCTGCTTGCATGTCAGAGGGTGCCATGGTTGTGAGCCATCATGTGGTTGCTGAGAACTGAACTTGGGACGTCTGGAAAATCAATCAGAGCTCTCAACTTCTTAGTCATTCTCACTGTTCTGGAATATGGAGCAGGTTCATCTGTGAAAGGAAATTAGTGGGCAGTCTGTAGGAATTGTATACAGCATGGAAATAGTTGATAAGTTGATATTGTTGTCCCACTAATAAAAACATAGATAACAGTTTTTCTTAATTTTTTAAGTTTTGAGATTCTAATTTAGGTATAATACTTGTTCTTACCCTTCCTCCACGGAAAAATTCTTGTACATTTCTACCCACATTTTTCAAGTTCAAGGCCTCTATTTGCATAAATTTTTATTACTTGTATGTAAGTGTGTGCCTATACATATATATTCATGTAAGTAACCTGCCCAGTCAATATAATGCTACTTAAGTGAAAAAGATATTTTTAAGATAGAAGTATTTGAATCAGGATGCAAATAATTTAGACATATGCTGTACTGTCATTTTTCATAAAGTTTTTGATGCCTAAGACCTTGTATTCTTAGTCATGTGTCTCTGGCTAAGGCATTCTACATATAGTACTCATTAGAGGAGCAAAATAGAGTTGACTTATTCCTGTTTCCTGTGTAGGTGACTTCTATGTTGCTTCTGCATACCCACCAATCCCATCTCCTGTAGATTGGTGTCTTCAAACACATGTCATTTACTGAACAATTCTATGTGCTTTCAATCCAATATCATGTGCTCAGTGAACATCAGTGACTACTAGTTCAAAGAGTGAGGAATGCAAAAGTTAAAAAACTTTAAGGTTATAATCCAACATATGATATAAAAAGTCTATAGAAGTGTTCTAAAGGTTCGTATGTTTGTGTGGACTCTTCTCTAATAATATTCACTAAATTCAACTTGCACATATATTCCGACACAACCTTCATCTGATACCATTGCTGTTCTGTAAAATATCACTGAGGGATTATTACACAATCTTCCCTGATGCTTAAGAACTCTCATAGAACACATGGTTATTAGGATTCCAGAACATTTCTAGAATCAGCATTTTTAATTATAATCACATGAGAAGTTAAAATTTTAAATTGTTTTTGTTTTCCCTCTTTTTATTTTTATTCTTTAATATTTTTTTTTACAGTCCAGTGTTCATCCCCTTCCTGGTTTGCCCCCGACCACTCCCCATCCCATACTTCTCTATCCATCTCAAAGAGGATGTACCCACCACACCCAATTCCACCCTGCCAGGCCTCCCCACTCCTGGGGGCCTCAAGTCTCCCGAGGGTTAGGTCCATCTCATTTGACTGAGGCCACACCAAGCAGTCCTCTCTTGTATATTTGTCAGGGGCCTCGTATCAGCTGGTATATGCTGCTGGGTTGGTGGTTCAGTGTCTGAAAGATATCAGGGGTCCAGGTCAGTTGAGGCTGCTGATTTTAATTGAACATAGGATTTTACATTTAGTAGTTTATCTCCTAATAGAAAAGATGGAGACAAAAGTTCATGATAAGAGAGTAGAAAAGCAGCATCTTGCCAGTCCAGGTTCACTTCTTCTCTCAAGGCTTCTAGACACTAGTTGAATAACAGGGTGAAATTAAGGGAACAAAGTTTATCCAGACAGGTGCATCAGAAGGATTCTGGTCCAGCAGTCAGAACAGGGAGAAACAACCTTTTTCCAGGTTTTCAGTGAAACATCTATCTTTATTTGTGGGGTAACAAGGGCTATATAAACCTGGAGTAGGAGGTAGGGGTTTTCAGGGTGAGTATACATTATTGTCTGTAGCTGAGATGCTTAATTTTCATGAAGAGAATTTCCAGGTGACTGCTGGACAGGTCCTTGTGGTGAGTGAAAAGTTTAAACCTAGAATTTCACCACCAGGCTTTTGACCACCCCAAAGATGTTGGAAGTGGGAAAATCAGGACTATGTGCATTACAGCCTGCAGGCCCAGAAACAGGGATGGGGTGATCATTGCTTTTGCCTGTCTTAAGGTGAGCTTGTCAGGGTTTGGACATGCCTCATCCTCACCTTTGCTCTAGGCCTGTTCCCCCAGTCACAGGGCTCAATTAATGCATAAAGTGTATCCTTGAAAACTACATCACTGATGATTCTTGCAAGAGGGTGAGAAAAATAAAATGTTTTGTTAAAGGATCTTAATGAGACAAAAAGAGTCCTGAAAGGACAGGGATAATGAAGAAGAGGAAACATATTACAGTCAGTAGAATAAAACAATGATGGGAAGGGAAGAAAGGAGGGTGAGAAGATGAGAGGGTGAAATAGGAACAGTTCATTCATAACATACATCTTATCATTCATCCTAAATGAATGAATCCCAACTCAGATCTCAGGACAGTTCCTTCCTCCTTTACATTTATTTTGTAATGCTTAGACACAGGGAAACTAGACTTCTTGAATATTTTAAGGCCACATTTGATTTCAATGAGCATTCATCACATATCATCTTAAATCTGGGAGCTTCGTTACTTTAAATTTGTACAAAGAACTTTTAACTTCCAAATATCATAATAAATTAACTCCAACATGTTTGGAATAGTGAATTCCTGTGTATGATTCTGTCGGAGGGCTACAAGTGAAACTTGCAAATATGTCACTCTTGTGTGCTTCTTGCTTTGTTATTTATGTTCTTGCTCAATTGTGACACCAGGTTCAGCAAAGAGAATAAGGACAGAATCAATCCTTATGTATACATGCCTTTTGGAAATGGTCCTAGAAACTGCATTGGCATGAGGTTTGCTCTCATTAACATGAAGCTTGCTGTTGTCAAAATCTTGCAGAACTTTTCTGTGCAACCTTGTAAGGAAACAGAGGTGAGACAGAATATATTCTTTTTTAACATAGTTTTGTTTTTTATTCAGAGGCATTTTCATAAACTTGGGAATATATATTCCATATACACATATAGGTGCATATATACATATAGATCAATTATACTGATTTATCTTTAATTAAAGTTGTCTCTGTCAACAATCTATGTAAATTCATGTGTGAACTCTAGGACCCTTCATTTTTGGAGCAGTTAGTCTGTGTCTAAATTTAAGTGAAAAGATCATGTTCAGTTAATGAAAATATCCCTTATATGGTTTTATATAAAATCATAGAAGGTAGGTGTTTTTCACTTGTTACAAGTATATATGTGTTTTACACTGTAATTGATTTTATTAAAACATTTCCATACTTATGTACACCATATATATGACCAATGATTTTCTGTTCATCTCTCATAAAACACATCTTAACCATAATCTCGCTTCCCTCATCCCTTCCTAGTCCATTGTCCTACTTCCCTTCTCTACTAGATCCACTGCTACTAAATTTTTCTTCATATAAGAGCAGATCTCCCAGTGATAGTAACAAAACACAGCATAACAAGATGCAGTAGACTATACATAAACACTCCTTGATGTGGTAACTCAGTAGGAAGAAATGGATCCTGTAAGACATCAAAAGAGTTTCAGACACACCCACTCCTCTTGTTAGGAGTCACACATAAACTCCAATCTACTCAAATATAGCATGTATGCAGAGGGCCTAGCAAAGACCCATTCAGGCTTCATGATTGCCACTTCAGTCTCTGTGAGTTCCTATGAGCTCTGCTTTGTTCTGTGGGTCATGTTCTCCTGATTTCCTTGACCCCTGTGTCTCATATAATCACAGAAAATATTTTTAAAGTGTTTCAGGTTAACTGTGTATAAAAGTATATATGCGTATCTGCCTTGTTGTTCCTGAAAGACACTATCTCCTTGAAATCAATCATCTGGTCTTACAAATCCTCAACCCCATTCCATGTAAAAATTTAAAACATGTTGTTACATTTAAAACACGCTTGAAATATATAATCAGAAGAAGTTAACAATATATTGTCATTCCTTTAATGAAGAAATTCCCACCTAGTTTAATTTCATGACTTTTGTTCTAAATATGATTCAAAAGTCAGAAGGTACTCATCATAGAAAAAGATTATAATGTGTTTGTTTTCTTTTTGAAGGCTTTAGGACAGTTATCTTCCTGCTCTGTACATGAACACAGATGAGCTGCTTTATTTTGAGCGCAGACAAGTTTTAGGTATCTAGTAATCTCTGACAAACTCTAGGTACCTACATGATGCTCTTACTCAAACTACAATAAAAGACTTTTGCACATTTTTCTGATTATATAGGAATATTACTCTGTTGTAGGACACTCTTTACCATAAACCAACAAGAATATAATTTTAAAATTAATCAAACTGACTGAAAATTTTCTTTTAGCACTATCTTGCAATTTCAAAATAGATACAGGGGACTAACACCTTATTAGTTCCCAAAGTCTACTCTGTATTATGAACTCACTTATATGAGACTGGAAGTTTTATATACAGTTTGGATGTCGGAGTATAACAACAGTGCTCACCATGTACAAATCCTACTCATGGTTGTCTTTCCAGGTTGATTAAATGAAAATTAACTTTATATTATATTTTTTAAATATATACTTGGTGTCCTTCAATGTACTTTACCAAGTTCAATATCTACATTTCATTTAAAATTTAGATCTGTAAGAAGATATACCACTATAATTTTGTCCTAGGCCTATTACAGAATAAGTACTCAATATATATATATTAGAGTATAAATATACGGAATCATATTTTCATATTCTATATAAGCAGTTCAATGTGTCCAGTGTTAAAAGTGATGTTTAATCACTTATAAAGACAGATTTAAAAAAAACAGGAAGCAGTCGGTGTGGTTCATGTTCGTTTGGAATATACTATGTACTTCAGCAAGCCTTAACTTTGTATTCCTCCTTCCTCTTACTTCTGAATATTAGGATCACAGCCATGTGACAACATAGGAAGAAGCCATTATTGTTTTTAATATATTTGTTCTAGCAACCCATGAAATTTGCTAATTGATTTAACTCACCAATGTGTTTATTCAATTATTTCAGATTCCCTTGAAATTAAGTAAGGAATTGATTCTTTCTCCAGAAAAACCTATTGTCCTGAAAGTTACATCAAGATATGGAGCCATAAATGAAAGCTGATTTTGTTTTCAAGTTCTGATACGTTCTTTAAAGAATGCACTGTAAATTCTGAGATTTTAATTTACCATAGAAGAAAATCTAGATGAGTACTACTTTAATCTACTGTACTTTGTTAGATGAATATTCAGAGACTTCAATTATTTCTAATTGTCTTGTAGAGTCTTGATTATTAAGTGTGACAAAAAATCATTGTTCAGTAATGTATACGTTGTCCATATCAAAAGTTGTCAATTTTTCAGAGATACTACAATATGCTAAATTTCTACACTGATTAAAGTTTTCTCATTAATATTGTCATTGTTGTTTCATTGTAGAATCTTTAATTTCACATTTGTGGCTGTGCTTTCTACTGACAAATACTTTGATCAGTTGTGACAGGTTTTTAAAAATTTACTTACAGTAATTTGGGGAGGGTGAGTTTTCTTGTTATGTTCCAGCTTTGGATCTAGACCTTGCTATATAACTCAGTTGGTTTCAAACATGTAATCCTCCAGAGTGTGCATATTGATTTCTTGGATTACAGGTATTTTATGTCACATTCAAAATGCATTGTTGTTTTCTTGTTTTATTCACTTTACATCCTGATCACTGCCCCTCTTCTACCCTCTCTTCCAGAGTTTCTAACCTCTTCTCACCCTGGAACATCAAGTTTCTGCGGGGCTAGGGCTAGGTGCTTCTTCTCCCATTGTGGCCAGAAAAAAAATCTGAATTGTGGGAACAGATTCCCACAGATAGACAACAAATTTAGGGATAGACCCTGCTCTAGTTTCTAGAGACATGCATGCAGACTGAGCTGCATATCTGCTATATATGTGCTTGTCATCTAGGTCCTGCCTGTGTGTGCTCTATTGTTGGTACTTCAGTCTCTGAGAGTCCCCAAGGGTACAGGTTAGTTGACTGTGTTGGTCCTCCTGTGGGGTTCTTATATCCTTTAGAATCCTCAATCCCTCTTCTAACTGTTCCATAAGATTACCCAAGTTCTGTCAATTGCTTGGTTATGGATCTTTTCATCTACCTGAGTCAGCTGCAGAGTAGAGCATTTGAAAGAACAGACATGATAGGCTCCTGTCTGCAAGCATAACAGGGTATATAGTTTCATGGATTGATACTTGCCCATGAGATGGGTCTCTAGTTGGGCCAACTATTGCTTGGCCATTCACTCAGTCTCTGATCCATCCCCCATTCTTGCATTTTTCTGTAAGCAGAATTAATTTAGTATCGAAAGTTTTCTGGGTGCGTTGTTGTCCCTATCACTCCATGGGGTTCCTACCTTGCTATAACAGATGGCCTCTTCAGGTTCCATATCCACAAAGCTATGAGTCATAACTAAGGGCACTCTTAATGAATTTTGGGAGCTGCCTCTATCCATATGTTTCTGGCATGACCTCAAGGCACCCTGTACTTCTATCCCTGTAGACTGAAGATTTCCATTCATTCTCATGACCATCTAACCATCTCCCCTCTCTCTACTTATTTTTCTAATTGGTTCTTGATTGTGTCAATTAAGATGGTGGAAGCCAATTCTTGGATGAAGGGAAAGTGGGGATTCCTGGGTCCCGGGAGGAAGAGAAGGGATGTAGGAAGAGAGGAAGTTTATTCAGGCCAGGCTTTGGAGTTAATATGACATAACAGCCGTATAGGTCTTAGGGGACCTAGATCAGTCTCCACCATGGGCAGGGGCTGAGGAGGTTGGTGGGAACTAATTAATAAGGTTAGGGCAGGAGATTCTTTGTCCAGACATTGTGTTATTTGTTTTAAAATAATAAAACTATCTAGTGTTTTCCATTTGTGGGACTAAGGTGGACAGGAGGAAAAAAAAGAGCAGCTGGGACTGTTGTTGGTATCTTAGAGCTAAACTCGGAGAGCTCAGATCATAGGCTGAGCTCCTGGGAAAGAGGTGGCATGGGATGAAGGGAGCCTGATTTCAGACCAAAGGCATGAGCATGGAGCAGGACAAAAGAGTAAGCATGTTTTTAAAAATACATGCAACATCTAATCACACCTGACCTTGAAATTTCCTCGTTCTCTTCCCCACACCATCTCACACTCAGTTCCCTAACTCCATCTGCCTCCTAAAACAAGTTTATTCCCTCTTATCCATGACATTGAAGCATCTCTTCTTGGGCCTTCCTTCTTGTTTAACTTTTTTGGGTCTGTAGAGTTTAATGTGGGTATCCTGTATTTTTTGGCTAATATTCACTTATAAGTGAGTATATACTACACATATCCTTTGGCTCCAGAATACATTACTCATGATATTTTCTAGTTCTATTCATGTGCCCACAAAACTGATGATATCTTTGTTTTTAATAGGTAAATAGTATCCTATTGTGTAGGTGAACCACCATTTTTTCTTTCTCCATTCTTAAGCTTGAGAACATCTAAATTGTTTACAGTTTCTGACTATTACCAAGAAAGCTGCTATGAACACTGTCAGCAACTGTCTTTATGGTCTATGGGGCATCTTTTGGGTATACATCCAGCAGTGGTATAAGTATCCATGAGTATTGATGTAGAACTATTTCCACTCTTCAGAGAAAAGGCCAAATTGATTTTCAAAGTAGTTGCACTAGTTTGCAACCCGACCATGAACCCCTTTCTCCACATCCTTGCCAGCATGTACTATAACTTCAGTGTTTGATCTTAGCCATTTTGAAGGTTGTAAGATGGAACCTCAGAAATGTTTTCAATTGTATTTCCCTGATGACTAATGATTTGAAGATTTCTTTAAGTGTTTCATAGCCATCTGAGATTCCTAAGATGAGAATTCTCTATTTAGCTCCATATCCAATTTTTAAAACTGGGTTATTTGGGCTGTTTGTTTCTACTGTCTTGAGTTCTTTATGAATTTTGGATATTAGCCCTATGTCAGGTGTAGGGTTGATGAAGATCATTTTTCAATCTGTAAACTGCTATTTTGTCCTATTGACAGTATCCTTTGCCATACAGAAGCTTTTCAATTTCATGAGATACCATTTAACATTTGTTGAGCTTAGAGCACGAGCCACTGGTGTTCTGTTCATTGTCTTGTGTACCACTAAATTGAGGGGTATTTCTGACTTTCTCTTCTGTCAGATTTAGTGTATCTGGTTTATGTTGAGTTCTTTGATCCTCTTGGACTTGAGCTTTGTGTCTGGTGATAAATATGGATCTATATTCATTCTTCCACATGTAGACATTCAGTTAGACCAGAACCATTTGTTGAAGATGTTTTCCTTTTATCTTTATGTGGTCTTGCCTTCTTTTCAAAAACTAAGCATCCATACATGTGGGGGGTTTTTGAAAATTTTTTATTTGATTGTATTACACAACCTGTCCTTTTCTTAACAATACCATTCAGTTTTTCTTAATATTGCTCTGTAGTACAGCTTGAGTTTAGGGATCGTGATACGTCAAGAAATGTCTTTAGTGTTCAGGATTGTTTTATCTCGCCTGGATTTTTTTGTTTTTCCATAAGAAGTTGAGAATTGCTCTGTCCTTGTCTGAAAGGAATTGTCTTTAAATTTTGATGGGAATTGCATGTGATCTGTAAATTTCTGATGATAAGATGGCCATTTTCACTATGTTATTCCTACAGATACATGATGATGGAGGATCTTTCCATCTTCAGATATCTTCTTCAATTACTTTCTTTAGTACTTTGAAGTTGCTGTCCTATAGGTCTTTTGGTTGCATGGTTATACATACATTAAGGTATTTTATATTACTTGTGACTATTATAAAGGGTGTTGTTACCCTAATTTCATTCTTGTCCCATTTCTCAATTGTATAAAGGAGGGCTAGTGATTTTTTAAAATAATTTTGTACCTAGCCACAATGCTCAAGGTGTTTATCAGCTGTTGGAGTTCTGTTGTAGAATTTTGGGGTTGCTTATGTATGCTATTATATCATCTGCAAATAGTGATTCTTTATGCTATTACCCCCTTCAATCTTCAAGTACTATATTCTTGTCTTTTCCCTAATTTTAATTGAATTGCTTTAAATGTCTCTCAATGTAATTTGCTTGTGGCTAATGGCTTGCTGTATGTTGCTTTTATTGGTTTATGCATATGCCTTGTATCACTGATCTTTCTAAGATTTTTATCATAAAGGGGTATTTGATTTATATAGTGAATTACAATTATGGATTTTTGTATATTGAACCATCCCTCCTTCCCTGGGATGAAGCCTACCTGATCAAGGTGGATGATGTTTTTGATGAGTTCCTGGACTTGCGTTGCAAGTATTTTATTGAATATCTTGCACCAATATTCATAACAGAAAATGGTTTGAAATTCTCTTTTTTTGCTGTTTTTTTTTTTGTGTGGCTCAGGTATCACAATGACTGTGGCTTCATTGAATGAGTTTGGCATTATTCCTTCTGTTTCTAATTTATAGAATAATTTGAGGAGCATTGGTATTATCTCTTCTTTGTAAGTGGTAAAATTCTGAGCTAAAACCATCTAGCCCTGGCCATTTTTTAGTTGGAAGACTTTTAATGTATGCTTCTGTTTTCCTAGGGATTAGAGGGCAGTTTAAATAATTTACATGATCTTCCTTTAACTTTGGTAAGTTGTATCTTTTTAGAAAACTTTTCACTGAGATTTTCTAATTTTGTGGATTACAGACTTTTGAAGTAAGATCTAATGATTCTTTGAATTTCCACACTGCCTGTTCTTAAGTCTCTTTTCATTTCTAATTTTGTTATTTGGATACTGGTTCTCTGTTGTTTGGTTAGTTTGGCTAAGGGCTTGTCTATCATGTTGATTTTGTTTAAAAACCAGCTCTTGGATTACTTGATTCTTGAATGGCTTTTTTTGTTCATAACAGATCAATTTCAGCCCTGACTAATTCCTGCCTTCTACTCCTCTTTGCTGTTTTTTTTTTCTTAGCACCTCCAGGTGAACTTTTAAATTGCTGGTATGAGAACTTTCTAATTACTTTATGGGGGCACTTAGTGGTATGAACTATTCTCTTAGCACTGCTTTCCTTATATCCTATAAATTTGGGTATGTTGAATT